AGGAATAGCTTCGGGAAATCTAGTCGAAGCGCACATAATGGTTAATATATACTGATTGCCTGCTTTGGTTTTAGGTAATGGACCGACACAGTCTATTATTATTCTACTGAAAGGTTCATCAAATGCAGGTATAGATTTAAGATGGGCTTTAGGGATTTTTTGATTTGGTTTTCCAACCATTTGGCATGTATGGCATGATTTACAAAAAGTTGACACATCTTTCTTAAGATTTGGCTAATAAAAATGATTTAGTATTTTGTGATAGGTTTTACTAACACCTAAGTGTCCAGATAAAGACGTTTCATGGGCCATACTAAGTATTTCTGGACGGTATAGTGGTGGAACCACTATTTGATAATTAACTGTCCATTCGTCATCAGCTGGGACATCAACTGGTCTCCATTTTCTCATTAATATTCCATGTTTAATAAAATAACAAATAGGGTTATGTGAAGCTTCATCTTCACTAACAGCCCTGTCAAATCAGCGAGAGATTTCAGGGTCTTTTTGCTGTTCATCAATAAGCTGTGACTTGGATATTTGATGACTTTTGTCATTTAAATCAAAATTAGAAGAATGATCTGATAAATGGCGATTAATATTTTCACCATGCTCTACCTGATTTTCAGGCAGGCTATAATCAAGAGATTTATTAATCTCAGTACTACTAGTACTATCAAGCTGACCTATAAAGGTTTCAGACAAATCTATTATTGACTCTGGGTCAAGATTAAGATCATACTTAATGGCTTTATTCGTCATAGCCCTGGTAACTACACAAGCAGGGTAAAGGTCAGGGAATTCCTTTTCAATTGGATCTGGTGATTGGTCCAGACAAGGCTTGGTAGTCACATGGGGATTACTTGTAACTTTCTTTCCAGCTAAATCGTTGCCTAGCAACAAGTGAATACCCTTAATGGGCAAAGTAGGTCTTATACCTACAGTTACAGCTCCAGAAACTAAGTCTGAAGACAGATAGATATTATGAAGTGGAACTGAAATAAAACCGCACTCTACTCCCTGAATAAGAGCACTAGAATCAGAAGAAGACTTCTCAGAAAAAGGCAAGGTATCTTCTAGTAATAGGGATTGAGAAGCTCCTGTGTCTCTTAATATTTTAATGGGGGAGAGATTGTTAGAATCACCTAATAGTGATATATAACCGTCTGAAATGAATGGCTCATAATCCTTCATAACAGAATCGAGCTGGGTCTGTGGGGCCTTATATGTTTCAATTTACTCAGTTGGCTGAGATTTAAATTTTGAAGAGGTTAGAGCAGTTTGCTTAATTCCCTCTGTTTGTTGCTTTCGTCTTAAAGTAAAACATTCGGATATAAGGTGACCTTTCTTCTTACAATAACTACAAGTGGGAGCGGATAAAGATCTTTGATCATTTCGGTGATTTGGAGCTTGGTGTTTGGGAGCATTATAGTTATTTGTTGGCCTATAAGAGTTACTAGAATGGGGCAATTTCTTAAAGGGAGGCGTGTGTGAATTTGATGGTCTTTGTATGAATGACGTTTTATGAGTTAAAGCATAGTCATCTGCTAATCTAGCAGCATCGTCTAAAGTTTCCGCTTTTTGTTCGTCCAAGTAAGTTTTTGTTTCGGAACTTATGCATCTTTTAAATTCTTCTATGAAAATTAGTTGTTTGAGGTTATCGTAATCCTTTTCAATTTTCTTGGACACACACCACCTATCAAATAATCTCTCTTTACTCCTAGCAAATTCTAGGTGGGTTTGATCACTTTCCTTTTTTGTGTTTCTAAATTTTTGCCTATAGGCTTCGGGGACTAGTTCATATGCCTTTAGAATGACCTCTTTAACTAGATCATAACATGAACTCTGTTCTATGGATAACTGGGTGTAAGTTTCCCTAGCTTTACCTATCAATACACTCTGTAGAAGCAAAGTCCAGTTTTCTTTTGGCCATTTTAAATTACTGGCAATTTTCTCGAAGTGTAAGAAAAATTTATCAACTTCTTTTTCCTGGAAAGGAGGAACAAGCCGGATATGTTTGGTCACGTCAAAATTATGACTTGGATTAGAAAAAGTTTGACTTACCTGTACTGCATTAGCTAATTCAATTTCGCGCATTTTTAATTGAAACTCTCTCTCCTCTCTCTCTTTTTGCATCTCTCTTTCCTCTCTCTCTTTTTGTAACTGCATCTCTAATTTTTGCATTTCTATTTCTTTTTGATTTTGGAATTCAATTTCTCTTAATTTCAACTCAATATTAGAACTAGTAGTTTCAACATAAGAAGACATTATACTATCAAAAATATTCTCATCAACAAAAAAATTTACCAAAATGTTCTTAATCTCCTGTTTTCTCATAGAAGATTGTATTTCACTCACATTACAATATTTTGCTAGCTCTAGTAAGTCATCCTTTTTCAAACTATTAAATACCTCCTGGTTAGGCTCAGCAATAAACTTTTCAGGTTCGAAAACCATTTTAATTGTTGTTGGTTTCACAAAATACAAAGTAAAAAAAAAATTCAAAAGAAATTGGGAAACTCTAAAAATCAAATTTTATCAAAGTAAAGAAAATATGAAATCTTAATTTAGTTGGTTCCCGGATGACCCCCCATTTTCTGTTACGACATGTGAAGATGAGATAACAGAAAGTGTGAGACCGACAACAGTTTTACAAATTTAAAC